AAATGGAAATGGCCCCAAAACAAAGGCTAAGGCCGGAAGGGAGGTTCCACGTTAACTTCTTAAGTGCAGCGCAACTTTTTGACACTTGAAATTGAGTTTTGTGGTGTAATTGCATTTTATTTGAGCTCCAAGTTGGAAGAGAAAAAAAAACAAAAGCCCAAATTCCGCGCCCATTGTTGCCGCGTATAAAGTCGCATATAGTATTTATACTATATACTGTATATATTCCCAGTGAGAGCGCTCAGTTGCCCAGCTGCAGCTCCAGCTCCAGCTCCGGCTGTAGCCTAGGCAACCAGATGCTCTTCAGCTCCTTTGCTGCGCTGTTGCATCAAATTTGCATGAAGTGGGCCTGCCAGACGCTGTTTGGGGATGGAAGTTGTTTGGTCCTAGGCTAAAACTCAAGTCAAGTGACGATAATCGCAAGTTGTTGCCTGCCCTCAAGGCTAAAGGCTGCGCTCGCAGCGAGATCTCTTTCTCCTTTTAGCCAGCAAAAAGTTTGGCCCAGCAAGCAGCTTGGGCCTGGGTAGCAAAATGCATGGCAAATGGATTTGCCAGCATTGGGTGTTAAGTTTATTTGCAAATTGTGTGTGTAAATTGCAGTTTTCAGTTTGTTGTTCGCTGTTTACTCGGCACGCTGTGAAGCCCATTGAGAAATTCAACTCAATTTGCAGCCGAATCAACTGTGCGTGGCGCAAATATTAATTACTATCTTGTGTTTCATTTTTGTTGAAAAGCTTTTCGCATTGAAAGGCGCAAAAAAATGTATGTGCAGAGATCAAAAATCAAATTATTTATTTGTTTTAACTCGAATGCACAAGAGCTAAGGACAAACGCAATGAGCTGTAGCTCAGCTCTTAGAGCGGAGCGCGTGTCGCTCTTTCTTGCGTGACACGAATGCACATGAGAAGTTACACAAAGCCAGCGTGTCCTTGTTGATGAACAAACCTCTAATAAAACCGTTTACTGGCCTTACTGTAGATTCCAGATGTACAAAAGCTTACTGCTTACTGCTTAGCTGTTAATCTGAATGCTTAAACTCATTGGGAATTTCAGCGCGAAAAGCTTATTCGACCAATGCCTATACAGCATATTTGAAGGTACATCTTTCACATGAATATTGACCAAAAAACTTAAAGCCAAACCATGAAGAAAGAGACAAATCTTATTAAAATCGGTTGAGTTTTGACCGAGCTATGGGGGTGGGAAATTTTGACCATGTCTATATAGGATAGTTTAGGGTACCATTTTCACATAAATTTTGACCAAAAAATTATGTTGCCAGGTTTTGATGCCAAATTGATCTTAAAGCCAAACCATGAAGAAAGAGACAAATCTTATTGAAATCGGGTGAGTTTTGACCGAGTTATGGGGGTGGGAAATTTTGACCATGTCTATATAGGATAGTTTAGGGTACCATTTTCACATGAATTATGACCAAATAATTATGTTGCCAGATTTTGATGCCAAATTGATCTTAAGGCCAAACCATGAAGAAAGAGACAAATCTTATTGAAATCGGGTGAGTTTTGACCGAGTTATGGGGGTGGGAAATTTTGACCATGTCTATATAGGATAGTTTAGGGTACCATTTTCACATGAATTATGACCAAATAATTATGTTGCCAGATTTTGATGCCAAATTGATCTTAAGGCCAAACCATGAAGAAAGAGACAAATCTTATTGAAATCGGGTGAGTTTTGACCGAGTTATGGGGGTGGGAAATTTTGACCATGTCTATATAGGATAGTTTAGGGTACCATTTTCACATGAATTATGACCAAATAATTATGTTGCCAGATTTTGATGCCAAATTGATTTTAAGGCCAAACCATGAAGAAAGAGACAAATCTTATTAAAATCGGTTGAGTTTTGACAGAGTTATGTGGGTGGGAAATTTTGACCATGTCTATATAGGATAGTTTAGGGTACCATTTTCACATGAATTTTGACCAAAAAATTATGTTGCCAGATTTTGATGCCAAATTGATTTTAAGGCCAAACCATGAAGAAAGAGACAAATCTTATTAAAATCGGTTGAGTTTTGACCGAGTTATGGGGGTAGGAAATTTTGACCATGTCTATATAGGATAGTTTAGGGTACCATTTTCACATGAATTTTGACCAAATAATTATGTTGCCAGATTTTGATGCCAAATTGATCTAAAGGCCAAACCATGAAGAAAGAGACAAATCATATTTAAATCGGTTGAGTTTTGACCGAGTTATGGGGATGGGAAATTTTGATCTTTGTCTACATAGGATATTTGCGGGTACCATTTTCACATGAATTTTGACCAAAAAATTATGTTGCCAGATTTTGATGCCAAATTGATTTAAAGGCCAAACCATGAAGAAAGAGACAAATCATATTTAAATCGGTTGAGTTTTGACCGAGTTATGGGGGTGGGAAATTTTGATCTATGTCAACATAGGATATTTGCGGGTACCATTTTCACATGAATTTTGACCAAAAAATTATGTTGCCAGATTTTGATGCCAAATTGATCTTAAGGCCAAACCATGAAGAAAGAGACAAATCTTATTAAAATCGGTTGAGTTTTGACCGAGTTATGGGGGTGGGAAATTCTGAACTATGTCTATGTAGGATATTTTAGGGTCTTATAAATGATGGACCTTAAACTTAGGCGTAATTTCGTGACGCATTTGAAGAAATACGTGACACGCGCTCATCTCTAGCAGCTACCCACACATAAGCACAATCATTTTAATGCCGAGATAAAATGAACTCTTCGGAATAATAAAGTGGAAATTATGCCCCAAGTGGATGTACTATAAATACGATTTGTTTTCGAAATCAATGGCAACGAATTGTTTACAAGTGCGCAGGAAAATTAATGCTTTTCAAAGAAAAAGCACAAAAGAAATTCAAGTTGTTCAAGGAAAAGCTAACTAAACAAGTAAGAGGGCGCAGTCGGGACTAGGGGATACCCTGAACCCTTATAAGATGAAAGATTCTTGATATATATATATATTATTCTCAATGATTTGAGATCCTTGACGGACGGGCGGACGGACCGATCGACTCGGCTATTGATGCTGATATATACACTTTATGGAGAATATATATACTTAATGGAGTCGGAGATCTGCCTGTTAACATTTGCACAAATACATTAAGCCCCTTTTTACCCATTTTCAATGGGTTCAGGGTATACAATTATGAGTTCCCATTCATTTCACTTCGTCAATTGTTACTCTATCATTTTGTTTTCCCTATTGAAATGATTTTACTTGTTGTTCAATCAAAAGATTGAGCTACAAGAAACTACAAGCTCTTAATTTTGTACCCATAGAAGACAAGCCGAAAACAGAGTCTGCCGGCAAGCATTTTATCCTGTCGGGCATAATGAATAAATGTTGGAATACAAAATTCGAGAGACGTCTTCAAATGCAGCCATAATTAAAAGTGTCCTGGCTGTCAGCACGCACCAATTGTGCCAGCATCAATTGCAGCCTTCGGGCTGCTTAAGAAATGCATTGCGCATCGACAGGCTGACAGCCGAGAGGCCAACTGCCGACAGCTATTGTGCTCTATTGTACTTGCCCCCCAACCGCTTTCCCCCTGCGCCCCCTCCTCCCTGCTGGCAGAGCCTGCTGCTGGCTGTACAATAATAAATGAATTTTTCATTAGGACAGTTGCAAATAATTTAGTTTCCATGTTGGGCATTAATTTGCATAATTTAAAGTTAAAGTTGTTTGGCACGTTTTTTAAATTTCCCAGGCGCAACTTTTGCGTCAGCTTGTTGCTTATTGTCGGGGCAATACACACACACACACACACTCGCACACACACACAGACACTCTCGAGCGGAAGCTGTTGCTTTTCATGAATGAATTTTGGCGCCTTTTCTGCGACGCGTGCGCAATGCGGCGAGAGCATTGAAAGCCGATTGAAATTGTTGGACCATTTACGATTGAACGGCCGCAGCAGCATCCTTCAATCAGATTGACATCAATCGCAATGCTTCAACTTGCCGTTTTATCAGAAAAGCGGCGCGCATTCAATTGCCGACAACAGTTGCGGTCTGGAGCTCATCGCGTGCGCCTCGCCTCGTGAATCCAACGCGCAGCAACTTTTGGGGGCTGTTTATTTTCCACCCCGCCCCGCCCGCCCGACCGCTTGCCAACGGAAAATTAAGAAACAATTTACGCACAAAAGTTAATTAGCGAATTTTATGCAATTAATAATAATTGTAAGAATATTGTGTGAGTGCTTTCATTAAAATATGTGTGCGTTGTGTTTGTAAGGCGTATACGTAATATTGTGTTGGGGTTATTAAAAATATAAAAGAAGTGCGGAAACAAAATATGTAAATTATGCTAACAATATAAAAGAGAAATAATTAATAATTTAAAATAAAAATTAATTATAATAATAGTACGAAATGTAAAAGTAATTAAACAAAATAAAAGAATAATAATTGAATGAATAATAATAATTATAACAATAATAGTAATATTAATAATTTTAATAATAATAAAATAAAAAAATAAAAATAATAGTAATAATAAAAATTTAAATACTAATAATAATAATAACATTAAGAATAATAATAGTTAATAGTTATAATAGCAATAATAACATTATATTAATAGTAAAAAATATGTTAACATTTATTATTATAATATAAGTAACAATAATAAAAAAAATAATTATTATATTAAAAATAATTATGATAATAAATAATAATAATATTAAAAATAATAATAATGATAATTAATAATAATAATTATAATAATAATGGAAAGAATCATAATACAAAGATAAATTATTTATATAAAAAGTGCCACAATTCATAAGCCAAAGCTTGAGGCACTTCAAAAGCCAAAACTGAGTTAAGAATAATGCAATTATGCATACGCAACTCAAGCCTTAACTCGAGTGTAAATGGATCAAAAACAAAGCAAGCAATTCAAAATACGAATTATAACTAACATTGTTTTTAATCATTCAAAGTGAAAACTCAATTGTACATACCCGACTGTTGGGCTTAAGTCTTGCCCAATGCCAACATATTCTGCAAATATAAAAACGTTTTTCAATTAAATGAGTTCAAGAGGAACGACTTAGCCTACAGAGATTTTATTGGGAATTCATTTGTATTCGCTTTAGTCAAATCGAGTGGCAAATGCGTAAACGTTGTCAAACATGTTCTGAGTTCTAATTGAGCTCAAAGAACATACAAAGAACACATGACTTATTATATGATATTTATTATTATTCATGCTCTGTACTCCATGTGGCAACATTGGTCGTATCCTCCTTATTTAATTCGTGTTGTAAATTTTAACCATCCAATAAACCTTATCCACCAAAGATCTGACTCTTACATGCATATGAAATTCACATAAATTTTCATAGCATACTTTTTGGAGCGGAATTGATTTAAGAACTGACAGCTCTGTTGTTGGCTTCTTTAATCTATTTAGCATCTCTAAAAGTATAAAATATAAAATGTTAAGGCGTTAATTGGAAATATGGAGCTAATAACACGTGTTTAAACATTAAACATTTAGTGTTTTTGGGAATAGGTTGCCTCCAAGAGCAAGAGATAGAAGAGCATTGAGGCTTTAAGTAAGGCTTTAAATGGAAGGATCTTTATATTTAGAATATCTCCCAAGAGCAGCAAAGTGTAATACATGCATTTTAGGCCTCTATTAACCAGAAAAGCTTCTTGAGACTCACCCCAGTAACCGCACTTGTAGACTCTAAAGCCCAAATACCTGATACGTCAAGCATGATATATGTATATATGTATATATACATAGAAACTGTTTCAAAGCCTTTCCATAAGCCTAGAGCTATAAGCAAGATATACATATGTATATATACATAAATATACATATACATCTCGGTATATACTGAAAAACTGTCTTAAAGCCTTTCAATAAGCCCAGAGCTACAAGCAAAATATAAAGCTAATTTTGTATAAATTGAATATGGCTTTCAGTTTCTTGGCTTTTGAGCGCTCAAATATACAGAAAGACGACAAAATAAATACTATATTATAGCCAAGAAGTGCCACAACACGAAACAGGAGAGGTCACATGAGAAAGCTCAAATTCAATGTGATTTAATATATATATACACAATATAGATATATGTATGTATGTAATATTTGCTGCTTATTTTATTTTATTTTATTGTGTGGTTATGCCAGTGTAAATCCGGTTTTTGTGTTGCTTTTGGAATAATAAATGTTTTTGTGCGAGTGTGTGTGCGAGTGTGTTTGGCCAAGTAGATGCAGTGAAAAAACGTGCATAACAAATCGCATCAACTATTCAGCAGATTCAAGTGCATAAGAATGCACTTGGGCATCTCAATTTCGAGCAGCTGCCTTCGTGATTCGCTTGCAAGAAATGCCAACGAACTGCACAAGCGATACACACGCACACACACGCACACACACACGCACATGGACAAAGCTAGAAAAATGTAATCACAATTACAAATGCAGGCAGCAGTTTGCATAATTTATGTCAAGCACAACAACAGCAGCAGCAACAGAGCCCAGGGGAAGCGGGCGAGTAGTGGGTGGTGGTAGGGGGGTAAGGCGGGGCGACTGTGGTAAACTCACACGCTTGCATGCCCATAAATAAGTGCAGGTTTAAATACCACGGCAACAATTGTGAAATATGGCAGAATAATAGAAAGAAAGAAGAGAGCGAGCAGAAAGCAGAAAGCATAAAATAAAAATGTAAAATGTATGAAATGTAACTACAAGTAGCCCGCTGACATGCACCAACAACAGCGGAGGTGGGGGAGGCAATGTGTGCTCGCGTGCACAGTGGGGCAAATGTCAAGTTGCGCCAAAACTTTAGGCGACGGCAACGACATGTGCATTAAAGTCTTGTCAAAGGCTTTAAATGATGTACAGCTATATGTGAGGGCAAGCGAACCGTCCCGCACACACACACGGCACGCCACTGTGCTGCTGCTGCGCTGCCGCAGCGCTGCTGCTGCCTTAGCATGCAATGCGAAGCTAACGAAACGCAAAACAAAAGCCAAGAAACAAAATGGGCCAAAAAGTTATTTTAAGGACACGGCAAAAAGTGCGCGCTTCTCGTTTCGAGAAAACTAAACGAAACGAAACGCAAGAAAGCGCCCAGTTCTCTATATGTGTGCGTGCGTGTGCGTGTGTGTGTGTGTGTGTGTTAGTGTGCGTTTTTAGTAATCTCGAAACAATTATGCATACGTGCATACACAGAAATCTGTGGCGCGTGATGCTCAAAAGTAGCCCAAAAGCCTCGAAATGAAAGCGCAAAATGTTTTGCCATTAGCATAAAAAATAATGGCAATGGGCTAACTGGCAACTGGCAATGGGCATTGGGCAAAAGGCAACCATCGACAGCAACAACAGACGCAAAAAAAAAAAAATGGCAAAAAAAAATCAGCTACAACAGGCGAAAACTAAATACTCTAGCTGACAGTCAGTAAGAGTAAGCAATAGGCCCTCTTAATGTGTCTTCACTGTGCCGCAGTCTGAGGCGGCTGCTCACTGTTGAGCTATTATCCCAATAAATTTATACTTATACTCTTATACTTATACTCTTATAATTTTGGAATTTATTTAACATTTTGTAAGGGCTTGAATACTCGAACAGAGCCTAGAGAGCAGAACTTAGAGCTGCGATTTAATTCAAATATAAGGCTAAGGGCAAAAAACTTGGAAAAGTCTAAGAAATTAATTAAAAGTTTTAAAGTTAAATTGTAAAAAAATGTAAAGTTAACGGGAAGAAAGCACGTCTTATACGGAATATCCAGGGTATTCATAGCTGACCTCAAAGCTTAAGTAAACTTCTTTACTAACCTACCAAATGTATCTAGACTTAAACAAAATAATTCGAATTGCGATTTAAATCAAGCTTTAACTTCAAGACAATACATTTTAGATAATCAAAAAATCATAATAAACATACAAAGTTAAAATAATAAAAATAAATAAATAAATATAAAAATTAAATGGGTAGTAAGCACATCTTATGCCAAATCCGTAGGGTAGCTATAAATCTGCATTCAGAAAACTTGGGTAGATTTGCTTTCATAAAATATATTTCTCAAACTTCTATTCTATTTCGTAACTGTAGACTTGCAAAGCTAGTGTTGGTAAATTACTTCTTTACTCTCATTAAATTCCTTCAGTGTTGATTAAAAGTCAAATAAGAGAATGTTTGGGTAGTAATCAAATCGTATACCAAATCCTTAGGGTATTTGCAGCTGCATTCAGAAAACTAAGGCAGCTTTATCTTTTCTTAATTTATCTTAATCTGCACTCTGTAGTCTTTTGAACAACTTTCTATTCCATTTCTTAACTGTGGACTTGCAAAGTTAGTGTTGAAAAAAAGCTGCTTAATTCTCATAAAATCCCTTCAGTGTTGATTTAAAGTCAGACAATAGAATATTTTGGCTCGTTGAATTTGGAAAGCTTGTTAACGCAATGCCAGAAAACATTTAAAAAAAAGGAAATACAGCCCTAATTCTATTTAATTAAACAAACAACAAATTCAATTGTACAGCAAAGTTTCTTTTAGCCAAGCAGTTTTTTGGGCCACAGGTAGTTCGAGATTCACTTCAATTATCCCTGGAACACTTGAAATGCTTTTGTAGCCAGCTACCGCAAAGGACTCCAACCACGCCCATTCATCAGGAAATGCGAGCGAGCGTGTGCAGCAGTCTCTTGTAGTTGCCATAGAGATCTCGACCACAGGGTTTATGCACTGGTAGAATTCTCGGCAGCCTGTCAAGCAAGACAAAAAAAAAAACGTATCAAAGGCAAGAATCCTCAAAGGACGACGCACCACAAGCCACATGCCAGGAATTGAACTTTCGATAGACACAAACTCTCCTGAATTGTAGTTTGAAGTCTGAGCTGAATGGGCATCAATTAATGCAGCAAACAAACGCTAAACTAAGTGATAAATACTTTATGTGACCAAAGGTTTAAAAGACAAAATCAAGCTTACGACAACAATACCCTTTAACTATAGACAAGGGTTTAAGAAATGGTATCATTAAGGTGCACATATATGTAACTGGAGTCGATCTAGAGGGGTTACGGGAGAGCAAGAGATATTCAATTTGTGACACAAGCCCTGGCATATGACATAGGCAAGACATATATTTCATATATCGCCGTTATCGATAAATGTCGATAACCAGTCTTGGTTTGTTTTTAGCAAACCTAATAGGTGATAAGGGCACGAGAGCTCATATTTCCTATAAACTCTTTTATAAAATTATAAGATGAATGTAAATTCAATTTGTGGTACCTCGCCACGCTCCGCCATTTTTCCGATATCGATAATTTTTATAACTTTTTATAACTTTTTGTTATAAAAATCCTGTTATGCTTTACATATAACATGACAAAATGCATGTACTCCATTTAAAGGGCATAAATGGCAGCAACAACAAAGCAACTCGACAATCTGAACAAAAGTCTATGGCTTTGGCATTTCACGATAGCCTTGATAGCCACGAGTGTGTGTGTGAAAGTGTGTGTGTGTGTGTATCTGTGAGTGTGTAAAGGGTGTGTGTGTGTGTGTGATGGGTGTGTGTGCGGCTATTTTCATTTCATCGAAGACTTAATCCTTTCTCAACTGCCAACTGGCAATTGTTTCGTTTTGTTTTTTTCTTTTTTGTTCATTTGCAAGTGCTAGAGGTTGTTTGGCGGGCAGAGGGAGGGGTAAGGGGTAAGGGGTAAGGGTTCTGCTGTTGGGCGTATGGGTGCATATTTTTATGAGCCACTTTCCCTTCACAGTGTGTGCCCAGTGCGAGAACAGATAAATGGCAGCCAGGCAAATGGTCAGGCAAACAAAATGAGACCAAAAGTGAGGCCAATAAAAAGGCGATAAAATTGACGCCAAATACAGAACGCACAAACGGAGAACTGAAGTGGGGCAAGTGTCTACATAAAAGAGCCATAGATAGACCTACATAGAGGGAGAGAAAGAGATATATAAATAAACGACGCCTGGACAAACATTGTTTATTGCCATCCGTACATCCGTGCGAGAG